TAGATACACCTATCGTGGATAAACGAAGGCCCTGAGTGCACCGTTTGTTCACACCCGAATAGAATAAAGACACGATCCATCATCATTGGTGCTCTCATTGAGAGGTGCTGATCGTGTTCTTTATCTATCTATCTTTTTCTTTTTTTCAGTTTGCCTTTTGCTGAGGGGCCGAATTTCTCTTTATTTTTTGTTGGGGTTCGAATTTTTTGGTTCGAATTTTCCCTTTTATTTTTTGAATTTGAGTCTTAAAAAAAAAGTGTCATCTTGTTAGTCCTTTGTTAGATTTTTTATTCGGATATTACCTTTCGCTGAGGGACCGAATTTCTTTTTTGTTTCGATTTTTTTTTAGTCTTGTTGGGGGTTCGATTTTTCGAATTTTTCCCTATTATTTTCGAATTTTTAGAGTAAAAAAAAATAATGTCTTACCCACCATTGGATGAGTTAGATTGGGAAGATCTTGAGATGTTGGAAGGTTTGGAAAGAGAGCTCACACCATGGGAAGCAACATATCTTGATGAGCTTCATGAACGAAGAAATATTGAAGAATATGAGCGTCAACTCATGGAGGCCCGAGAAGCAATGGTGATCGATGCTCATGATCATGAGGATGAAGGGGAGCTAAATTTTCTGATCCTTGAGGACAAGGAAAGTCTCGAAGAAGAGGGGAATGATACGGAAGTGGTCATCAACCCAGGCGAGTCAGATGATGAAGGTGGCGATGGACTCGATATTTGGCTAGAAAATATGTTGGAGGAGCCATCTAGTCCGATTTACCGGCCATCATGTGTACGAGATTGGCTAAAAGGGTGTGGCCCAAAGCTAAAGTCGAAGGTAAGGAAACAGACGGCCAAGAGGCAACGCAAAGCAAAGGCTCGAAAAACAAGTCAATGTTGGTGCAAGCCTTGTGCAAGAAAAAGGCGAGTTCGCAAGATGGTGGCTCAAAGGGGAGGTAAGAGTAGAATGGAGGATAGTTGGATTTGGCGAGCTGGTGATTGTATTGGGTTGGATGGATGGGACCCATGGCCAT